TTTTTTTTCTTTTTTGCCCTTCTCGGCACCTGGGTCCTCGCCTCCTCGGGTAATAATGAAATGAAACATGCCATGTGATTTGTTGGATGTAAAGTTGTATCATGTCTTTGGGAAATACTACAATTTCGGAATTATTTTGTCGAAATTTGTAACGGTTAAATCATCATGTAATCTTTTTAGGATTTATTGAGCATTTTTTATTAATTTTCTATTGAATTTGTATGTTGAGCTTGATGAAAAACTGATTTTTATGTTGAGATTCATGAAAAACTGATTTTTGAGTTGTCTGAGTTTCACTAGAGATGCATTAATCTTTTTAGGATTTATTAAGCATTTTTTATCATGTGTTCTACCTTGTTTTGGGAGAGAGATCCAAGATTTAAGTTTTTATTTTATTGTTTTTACAACAAGTAGGTAAAAATGTATGACATAATAACAACAACAACAACAAAAATAATAATAATAATAATAATAATAATAATAATAATAATATAAAAGTATGGTGATATTTTGACACTGTAAAGAGATATTGGATATAAACTTATTATAACTACAATTAATTGAAGATAAAAAGTAATAAAAAATATTAATTCTTTTTTTTTTACAGCTATTTTTTAAATTTCCTACTGCTCTCAAGCCCGACCATACTTTAGCCCAAACTTTTCTTTGAGGAAATTGCACCACATACTAACTCATTCAAAATATATAACACTTTTATACCCCTTAACGTCTTATTTTTAAAATACCAAAAAGGCTTAAAATATTTTCAATTATACCTAAATTATGTAACCGTTATTAACTCCTTTTTAATAGAAATGAGATATTTAAGTGAGATAAAATATACATTTACCTAAAAAAGAGGAAACAAAAAATTAAATTGATTATCCTAAATTTATGAGATCTATAATTCTCTCTCTCTCTCTCTCTCTCTCTCTCTCTCTCTCTCTCTCTCTCTATTGGTTTCTTTTTCTTTCCCCATCTCATGTCCTTCTTATTCTACAATTCCTCTAACACCAATTTCTTCAGAGGCAATATAATAAAATCTCCATTTGTTTCTAAAGGAAAACGTGATGAGATCCCAAAATAGCATGAAGATCAAAGATAATAAATAATGATGGAGACATTTCATAAGAAAATGCAGGGTTTTCATATCAGCTTTTTCTTCACAAGGTTCTATGATATCTCATTTCATGAATGATGAATATTAACACTCTACTGATTCTTTATATATGACGGCTACAGCTCATACACCNNNNAGTTCTTAAGCTTAAAAGTTAAGTTAAGAACATCATTCAAAGTGTTGAGTGATTTTTGAGAGATTTCCTCATAAAATATATATTCTATACTATTGAAAGAAAAATCGATGCTTTTCTACTAGCGAAGAAAGAGGTTATCGGAATCGAAATTCAAAAGGTGGATACATTTAGAGGGAAGACACGTGGATTCCTAAAGCGAGTAACCACAAGCACAAGAAGTGAAGTGACGTTACCAATCCGGGAATTGATTTACTCAATCATCATCGATTTTGAAGGAGTTCAAGAACTAAGGTAATTTTAGATTTAAAATTATATTTCAAATCAAAATTAGTAAAAGTTACTAGATGTTAAATGATGCTTATTCGTTCTATCGTTATACTTATGTACGGAATAAGTATTTATGAGATAAATACTTATAAAATTTTAAATTCCGCTGCATTATTTGTTCCGTACGGGTATATCGAACCACTTCTGTTTATCTTCAAGCCATGATCTTTTGTTGCAGCCAGATATCTCAAGATCCTTTTTACAGCTTTCCAGTGCTTATCTAGAGGAGTATGCATGAACTGACAAACCTTCTTCACACTGAATGTGATATCTGGTCTAGTAAGAGTGAGATATTGAAGTGCTCCTACTATTTGTCTGTAGAGCTGGCCATTTTGCATGGGATATCCATCATGTTTGGAGAGGGGTGGATGACTGACCATGGGTGTACTAATTCCTTTGGCCCCCTTCATTCCAGCCCTATCTAAAATCTCATCAATGTAAGTAGATTGGGTTAAAAGGAGACCCTCAGTTGTTGATGAAACTTGAACTCCTAAGAAGAAGTGCAGAGGACCAAGATCTTTAATGGAGAAAAAGGTAGAGAGGGATTTGATAGTGGATTGGATGAGTTGAGGTTCACTGGCTGTAATCAAGATATCATCCACATAAGCAAGTATGAATATTGAGGAGCTGCAGTTATGCTTGAAGTATAGTGATGTGTCTGCCTTGGAAGTAGAAAATCCAAGTTGAAGAAGAATAGAGCTCAGTTTAGAAGACCATGACCGGGAAGCTTGTTTTAAACCATAAAGGGACTTCTTGAGTTTGCAGACAAGTGGTTGAGATGAAGGAACTTCAAAGCCTTGAGGTTGCATCATGTAAATGTCTCTGTCTCAGTCTCCATTGAGGAAGGCATTATCAACATCAATTTGATGGATTTGCCAACTAAGGGAGACTGCAAGGGAAAGAATAATTCTGATTGTTGTAGGTTTTACCACAGAACTGAAAGTTTCTGAATAGTCAATGCCAGCATCTTGAGTGAAACCTTTAGCCACTAATCTGGCTTTGTGTCTAGAGACAGATCCATCAGGGTTGGTCTTCAATTTGAAGACCCATTTGCATCCTATGATGTTGTAGTGAGGGAGCTGAGGGACTAAGTCCCAAGTGTTGTTCTTCATTAGTGCCTGAAATTCTTCTTGCATTGCTTGATGCCAGTGTGGATGAGATAAGGCTTGAGAAATACTGGTAGGTTCTGAAGATGAAGCCAAGTGAGAGGAGAAGACCCTTGGCTTTGTAATACCTGATTTTGATCTAGTAACCATATGATGGTGACCTGTTCCAGAATTATTAGGTGCAGCATTTTGCTCAATAGGTAAGTCAATGATAATTTGCCCAATAGGAATTGTGGAATGAGAAGATGAACTTGAGTGATGTGGAGGATGAGTACTATTAGAGTTAGAAGATGTGGAAGGAGAGGATGTATGAGGAGATGAATGAGGAGTGTTAAAAGGACTGAAGTGTTGATTATTCTGGGGTGATGTAGGTGGAGTGAGTGGTTGGAGATTTTCAGGCTGGGGAATATGCTGAGTAGTTGAGGGGTTCACTGAAAAGTTAGGAATGGTGATAGGTATTTCAGAACTTGAGTTAGAATGAGATGAAGAATGTTCATGAAGTGGAAAAACCAATTCATTAAAGATGATATGCCTTGTAATGATGATCTTGTTACTGGGCAGAAGGACTTTATATCCTTTGTGATGAGGGCTGTAACCAATGAAAACAGACGGGAGACTTCTGGGTTGAAGTTTGTGTTTGTTGTATGGTTTGAGAAGTGGGTAGCACAAGCAACCAAAACATTTAAGCAAGGTATAGTCTGGAAGTTGGTTATACAAGGCT